CGGGCCGGACCCCTCCTTCCTGCAGGCTGCGACAGGCGCGCGCCCGAGCTACGGGTCGTCGGCTGGGTCCAAAGAGGGCCGCGCGCACCTCGTCCGACCCGGCCTGAGGCCTAAAACTGCCTCCGCCTCTGTCTCCGCCGTCCCTGGCTGGAGGAAACCTGCAGGCGCTCGCTCACCGCAGTTCAGAAGTTCTGGGCGCCTTTTTGCGCAGGGCTTGTGGGTGGAAGGTGGGGGTCGCTTGGGTGGCCGCGGGGAAATGCAGAAGGCTCCAAACAGTGCAACGCCGGAACTTGGGGCGCGAGGAAGGCCTAGGTAGCCTGAGGCTGGAAGGGCGGAGGGAGGGGGAGAGGCTGGCAAGTGTGCTGTGTCTCCTCCTAAGCTGTCCGGCTGGCGTGCGAGGCCATGGCCAAGATAGGTTCTGCTGCATGAAGGTGGCCCAGCCCCAGGAGCTTTCTCATCGCGCCACAGGGACCCTGAGGTTGCTTAGCTATGGACCGGGGTCGAGTGGGGGCGCTGAACAGGTGGGCCAGAGAGCCCAATCCACTTTATTCCAGACAGTGCAGACCCATCCTTCTCCACCCCTGATAGGGGCTCAGGGACGGGAGCACCCACAGGATCCAGTTTAGGAAAGGGGACATCTTCGAGCCCCGCAAAATATGGCAGGGTTTGAGAGTCGCTGCACCCGGCTCTGAATAGAGCACGGTAGTCCGGCCTGCCCTCCCAGGGGCGGGAATAAGAGTGTGGGGAAGATGGGGAGCCCAGGGACAGGCATCCTGCGAAGGAGTACCGTGGTCAGACGGCTGGTCTTCAATGCTCAGCACCTCCCTTTCTGACATTCCTCACAAGATTATTACTAGGGTTTGAGAAGGTCACTTATCCAGCGAATACTACGGAACTAGTATGCACCAGGTTTTGCTTATAGTAGGGTGGTCCCTCCTCTCCAGGGACTTGTGTTGGGGACTTGCCCAAGGGAAAGCACACAAGAAAACAAATGATAGACGAGTCCAGTTGACTTAATATCTTAGCAATCTCTATGAAGCCAGGGAAATGGAGTGATGGAGGTGTGGGAAGGGAACTAATTTAGTTTGGTCAGACAAGACCTTCCTGATAGGTGACAAGAACCGAGGCTACTATGGAAATAGCCAATACAGAATCCCAGAGCAGGGAACTCTGTGGCCCCAAAACGTTGGTGTGGCTGCAGCACAGTCGTCCCCCACCCCACCGCCCCAGGAAGAGAGCTCAGAGATGGAGTCAGCAGCAGGCAAGTCGAGTTAGGACCCAGAGACCCATGGCAAAGGGATTTAAATTCTACTCAGCCATGTGTGCATTTGAAGAGTTTCAAACAGGAAAGTGGCAAAATATTATTTATGTTGTTTATGACTGTGAGCTAGGCATGTGGCGCACGCCTCTGATCCCAGCACTTGGTACGCTGAGGCAAGAGGATCGCTGTGAGTTTGAGGCCAGCCTGAGCTACATAATGAGCACCCTAGTTCAAACAACTGAAGAGAGAAAAGGACCAGAAAATGACCACCGTGGTCACTGTGTGGAAAGTAAACTGTAGGAGACAAAGAGTAAAATCAGAGAGGCCAGGAAGGAGGAGAGGCTTACGTCAGAACGAGCTGGATCTCCTAGAGCAGTGATAGAAAACACAAGCGCAGTATAGAAGCTTCTTGCTCTCCTCAGCCTCTCCTTCAAAGGACAGCATCTCCTGAGGGGACAGATCTATTTATTGGACTCCAAGGGACAGGTCTGCATTCCGTCTCACAAATTACTCAAACCACAGTTACCACCTTTGGAGGTGAAAATGTCATCTCCCCTGCAGAGCTCCTGGAGGGACTGTATTTGGTTCTCCCACGCACTCCCATCCCACAGCAGATCCCTGTACAAATAAATGGTGGACCTTTGCTCCTAAATAAAGCAAACAACAACAGCCTTGGCAGGGATGGCTGAAAATGAGATTTACTGGTCATATCTCTGAAAGAGCTGGTGTATAAATAGGGAAATCTGGCTTGTTTTATTCTGAGGCTTCAGAGGTGAAAGAAAATCCAGTTTTTGATGGGCTACCCCACGCTCTTTGGCCTCGAGGGACTTAGCTGTGACATACTCAGTGGAGAGCTGGGTCTTTCAGATTCTGGCTTCTCTACCTCATCTGCTTTTCTCCATCTCCCTGCCCTGCACCCCTTCCCATTTTGGTCTCCTGGACACAGAGAAGCACCTCCTCTCTCCAGCCTCCCGGGGAAAGACCTCCGCTCGGCCATCGGCCCTGCTAATCTCTCCATCATTCTCTTCCCATCCATCTTTTTGAAGATGATTTAAGAGTCTACACACAGGCCTCTTGGTCCAATTTTGTTTTCTAAAAGAGACAACGGAAGGAGGTGTAAAAATAACAGATGTGTTATATATATGTACCAACTCCCCACAACAAATGTAATTATTATGTACTGCAAACATGAAAATTAAACTTAATAGAAATTTTTTGAGACAGGGTCTCACTACACCACTCAGGCTGGCTTTGAACTATGTAGCCCAAGCCAGCATTGAACTCATAGAAATCTTCCTGCCTCAGCCTCCCAAGTGCTGGCAATATAGGCATACACCACCATGCCCTGCAAAAAAAACATTTAAAGAGACCTGATTTGTTCAGATATTTACTGTTCACAGACTTCCCTCTGCCTCCCATTGCCCTCCTCACCCTTATTTGGTGGCATAACTGGAGGAGTGCTTGGAGGGGTGACTAGACCAACAGCCACACCCCTGAAGGGTTCAGAATTTGGAATGTGTGGCCTCCACCCCAGACAGGAATGAGCTTCTGCTCCAGCCACTCAAGGTCAGGAGCTTGGGGCTGCTGTTTTCTTCTATATTTACCACAGTTGCTGAGTACAAGGTTCTGGGCTCCTTTGATGGCTCAGTAGCTATTGGCCGATGGCAGACTATTTGGTTGCTTCTCTTTACCTGGCCCAGGAGGAGGACATTTCTGTGGTCAGGTTGGACAAATCTGGAGAGAGGAAATGTAAACAGGACAAGGCTGCTTTTCCAAAGGCCAGAGCCCAGAAATAGTTCCTTGCACTTCTGACCTATTGAACTCTCCCCTGGATAGAAAACCACTGAACGAGTGAAAATTAGTACAACATAATGATGAGACAGAACCGGAAGTGGATTTCCCGGTGATGGTGACTTGTAAACTTTACCCGGTCAAAGGTGAGATGCTGATGTTTTCCAGCACTTTGCTTCTGAGGGATTGTGGTGGCCAGTGAGCAGAACTGGCTATACCTTTACCTCTCAAGGCACATTCCTTCCTCCAAGCTGGGATGACCCAGCCATGGAGCTCCAAGACAGTGAGTATCTCAGGTCTTGTAGAGAGGATGTGCCAATGCTATGTTTCAAGCACCAATGAAGGCGCTCATCTGTATCCTGCAACTTTCCCGCACTGTAAAGGAAGAGGGGGAGTCCGGTATAGAATAGATCTGTCCTGGACTCCCATGCCTACAAGCTAATTGTTGTTTTTAGCAAGTTTCTTCAGCTGTGTAGTGGACTTCAGTACTCTGCATGCAGTGCTGTTGTAAGATTTAAGTCTCACTTTTACTCCTGGAGCGTGAACAGCCAAGAGGCTTTCACGATGCTGGGCTCAGAAGCTCAGCGAGGCTCCAGGAGCTAGTTGGACAGCAAGAGTCACCCAAGAAGGAACACACCAGGCAAGTTGGCAAATAGACCTTTATTAGTCTGGCCAGACGGCACTCCCCAAGCCAAGTAGCTCAGAGAGGCGGCTAGCTCAGAAACAGAGGCCATTTTATATAGGGCTAAGCGGGGGGGGGGGCTTACACTTAAAACTTACAGGAAGAGGACAAAGGCAAAGAATCAGTTGATCTGAGCGCTAGTGGTCATCAAGCATATACTTGACCGTCACGTACTAATGATCAGCAGATCGATTATCCATTATTCCATTTACAACTTAGATTATAATGCTCAGAACATTCAACTACAGGCAAGTAAGGAGTGGCGTGATTTGTGTTGGGTCTCTGTGTTCACTACAGTTTCCATTTAGTTTCCCAGCTACTTCAAAGCAGTTACCTAACAATTCACAATTAATCATTAGTTATCCTATAAGGGATGGGGGGGAGCAACAGTCTCTAGGTCGTTTGCTGGTCAACATGGAGTCGCTCTGGTTCAGTCAGGCTCTTACACTGTGAGACGGGGCTTTGCAAGCTCCTTGACCACCCATGGTCCTGGGAAAGTCAGAGTAGTTTTCCTCCTCCCTCCTCCCTCCCACACCAGTCTCCCTTCTGCTGTACCATTAACCTGTTCATCAGAGGACTCTGAATCCCATCTGTGTTTTTTCTGCAGAATGTGAGTAAATCCCGTGTATGGGAGCTAGGGGTGGCTTAGTCAACAAGAGGTCAAAAATTCCAACAAAGCTACAGAAGAACAATGTCACAGATCATGGTGACTAAAACAATGTTGCCTGTTCCTTGCAATGACTGGGACCTGGTCATGTTAGGGCCCTGGTTCCTGGTAACAATAACATAGGGATCATTACTACAGGGATAGAAAAGAGGCAGAAACCTGGGCCTTTTCCTGATGCTCATTAGAAGCACGATTTGTGTTTTCTCCTGGGACAGACAGGGACTTAGAAGCCAATTTTGGTATAAACCATGACCTCCACTTGGGCCTACAGATGCCAACAGGTAACTAAAAGCAAAACAAAGTTTGACTTTCATCCTTTGTTGCTATTAATCTTGGGTCAAATCTCCTCTTATCTCTGGACACAGATGCCAGT